TATTGGTTTCGTCGAGATTGGTGAGTCGCGTCAAGTAGTTGGGGTGGCCACGGCGAGCCGTCGTCCGGTCGTCGTTCGGAACGTCGGACGCGGAGACAAAGTTCTGCGGTGTTGGCTTTCGTCGTCGTGTTTTCGTCGAGGCTCCGTCTCAAGTCCGTACCGGATCACAAGTATGCAGTGTCGCCCGCGAGCGGGCATGGCCGTCGCTAACAAGCACGAAACTTGATGCGCGTGTTTGTTCCGCGCCGCCCAATGCCGAGTGATGCCGGTCGGGATATTCCGTGCCGCGGTTCTGCAACCAAAATCCCGCCTTGTACGCAGGGAGAAAATTCAATGGAGGGAGTAAAGTGAGTTGGAGAAGCGCCAGCTATGAAAAAAGAAGACCCTACCAGCAAAGCTATCACCCGACCCCGAATCGAACGGGGGCCTCCCACCTGCATCACAATACGTGGCGATTAAGCTGAGCAGGTGCACTCCATGTGCTATCAGGTACCCCTACCCTTTATTTTTTGTGCTTGTCATACCACTGAAATTCAACATGTGTCGAAAAAAACAAGTTGAAGATCTTGACAACATCACCCAACCCCGAATCGAACAGGGCCCCCCTGCCTGCAATGCTATGGCAGAAATTCCAAGCTGAGCAGGTGCACACCATGTACTATTAGGTGTTCCTACCTCCCAATTCTAAGCTCAATATACCAGCAAAATCTTGAGTTGGGTTGAAAGCAAAGAAATTGTGGGTAGGAGAGAAGCCATCACCCAACCCCAAGTCGAACAGGGACCTCCTGCCTGAATCCCAACAGGAGACATACCTAAAGAGGGCAGGTGCACACAATGTGCTATCAGGTGTCTTCACCTCTGTTTCTTCACTCTTAGTACTAACAAAAATTCAACTTCAATGTTGAGTAGAAAACAAAAAGGCTAAGAGCAAGCAGACCTCGAATCGAACAGGGACCTCCTGCCTGCAATAACACAGATGATTGGCGGAAGGAAGGCAGGTGCACACCATGTGCTTTCGGGTGTCCCTACCCTCCATTCCTACGCCCTTTATACCCTACGGAAATTGACCTTGTGTTAAATAAAAAAAGGCTAGAAGTGAGCATCATCACCCGACCCCGAATCGAACGGAGACCTCCTGCCTAGACTCCGGAGGAAATTTTGTAAGAATGGCAAGCACACACCATGTACTATCGAGTGTTGTTATCTTCTATTCCTACGCTCTTTATACCACCAATATTCCAGTGTTGGCAAAAAAAACTATGAGAGAAACCCTGCATCACCCAACCCCGAATCGAACGGGAATCTCCTGCCTAAACTTCAGAGGAAATTTTCTAAGAAGGGCAGGTGCACACCACATGCTATCAGGTGTCTTTCCCTTTATTCCTAGGCTCTTTATACCAGCAAAAATTTGACTAGTGGGTTGAAAAAAGGAAAGCAAGGGATGAAGGACAAATCACCCAACCCGAATCGAACGGGGACCTCCTGCATACAGTAAAGTGGAAGGATATGAAGCCGGGCAGGCGCACACCATGTGCTATCACACACCCAATAAAGAAAAATATCCACTTAGGTGGAAAGGCCCACGGAAAGGCAAATAATCAGCGGCAACAAAAAGGATGGGAGGAATGTATAACAATTAGCGTAAGTGGAATACAAACCCTGAAAGCGAGACAATCAGCATGCCTTTCTCCTCGAGTGGAATGAACACAACTCAGCAGCGGGAAAAGGGACACTGAAAGGTAAGCTTTCAGTACACCTTTCAGGGGGTGCTGAAAGAAAGGCTTTCCACTTTCGGTGCGGAAAGAACGAAAATTCCCGGCTGAAACAAAGAAACAAACAGGATATTTCTGTCCTTTCCGCACCGAAAGTGGAAAGGTTTTCTTTCAGCATGCTCTGAAAGGGGTGCTGAAAGCTAACCTTTCAACAGCTCTTTTCTCAGTGCTGAATGGTGTCCTTTTCACTTGAGCCACTCAAGTGAAAAGGGTTTCTGATTGTCTTTCTTTCAAGGGTTACATTCCACCTACGCTAACTGTTCTACATTTCCCCATCCTTTTTGTTGCGGTTGAATGGTCTCCTTTCCGTGAACCTTTCCACCTAAGTGGAGATCTTACTTCATTGGGTGTGTCAGGTGTCCTTACCTCTTGTTTCTAAGCTCAATATACCACCAAAATTCAACCTGGTTTGGAAGAAAAACAAAAAATTGTGCAGGAACAGAACCCAACCCCGAATCGAACGGGACCTCCTACCTAAAATCCCAGAGGAAGATTTAGAGGAGGCGGGTGCACACCATGTGCTATTGAGTGCTCCTCCTTGTATTCTTAGGCCTTTATATACCAGTAAAATTTGACTTGGGTTAAAAACACATGTTGGAGGGAGAAAGGCATCACCCAACCCCGAATCGAACGGGGACCTCCTGCCTGCAATTCTGCAATGAAACAAGGGAGACAGGTGCACACCACATGCTATCGGGTGTTCCTCTCCCTTACTCCTAAGCTCTCTTTATACCTACATACTGAAATTCAACTTGAGTTGAACATTGAAAAAGGGATGGGATCCAGAGAACTCATGACCCAACCCCGAATCGAACAGGGACCTCCTGCCTGCAGCTTCTTCCAACCTGCAAAGAAGGGCAGGTGCACACCACGTTGTGAGGTCGGTGTGACGGCTACGCCTGTCTCACTGCCTCATGGGCAACACAAGCGACGCACGGGATCGCAATATCCGACTCATCACAAGAACCAAGGATCCCCAAGTCTCGCTGCGTAGCCGACGCAGAGTCCATATCGGGAAATCGACTTACCACATTCGGAACATACGACCTTCCTCGACCAAAACCAGCAGTTTGACATTCATGACGGGCAAACACGGTCATTATTCCACTGACAAATCCTTGTTCCACCAGCGCCCCGTTCGCCAAACTTCCGCACCACGACTCACCTAAAACGACAACAAATCTATTTCTGGACTCTCCGAAACGGACGCAGACGCTCGACTCTCGAGGATGACGAACGGGGTGGACGACACACGCGCCTCCTCGCATTGCCCAGACGCTTTCCGCCATGAAACATGGACCGAAGCAACGTTCACCCCTCGATCTAACCAGGAATCCATACTCTCAGTGCTGCGTCCGCTACGAGTAACCTCGGAGGCCGTAAACTTACGTCTATCAATCGGGAATGATCGGAGCCTCTGCGAAGCGAACACAGCCTCGGCTAAACTCTGCGTAGCAGACGCAGACATGGAAAACCAATTCACGGCTTACGAAGGCACAACGTTCACCGCCTCGCAGCACTGAACTGTCGGGCGTACCATGTGGAACACTCCTCGTATACGGCATGGTGGAAAGGTATAAAAGCGGAGCAACGGGTTTCGGGTAGTCAGTCAATTACTGGGCTGAGTTCCCCCTCTCCTCACACCAAGTATCCCTCGCACAATATAACTCGAGTTGACCCACACACCCTCACTTGCCTCTCATTGAGTGCACTTTACTCTTCGTCCTCGTCGCTCACTTGCTCCTCACCCGAGTCCGACCCCTACCATCCCGTCCTCTCGCACATAGGACCATCGGCTCCACGGGCTATACGCTCTGTCGAAGACAACCTGAGAAGGACTTGTTGTAACAAAGCGCCGTCCTCCCCCACCTTTGGGACCATTGGCCATCGTCAGAGCCACACCACACACCGTCGCCACGGCTTCACAGCCAACCCACCATCGTTGAACATCGAGAGGGAACGAAGGAAAAGGCGGATTAGCGGAGACTCTGGATTGTAGAGAAGCCATAACCAACGCGGTTGGATATAGGCTCAAGGAGGTTATTTCTGTTCTCCAACCGTTGTCTGCTAACCACAGGTCGATTGGAACCATTACAACGCGGTCTACACCGACGCACACACACACACACGCACATCACCAAGCCATTGCACTACAGTAGAAACCTCTCAGAGGTCGAGGAGAAATATATCCCATAAACCAATAACCACGGCTTAGCCTCTACCTTTCTTCCTATCTCCTACTCTCCAGCTCTACAACACCCTAGAGGACGATCAAGTCTCTTAGTGACACCCAAATTCACATAGCGACACCGCGGTCCTTATCACAACGTGCTATCAGATGTTGTTACCCTTACCTTCAGCTCTCTTTATACCAGCAAAATTTTGACTTGGGTTGAAAAAAAGGATTGAAGAGGAGCAAACCACCGAACCCCGAATCGAACGGGGACCTCCCGCCTACAGCACACTTCCGGGATATTAAGGTGAGCAGGTGCACACCATGTGCTATCAGGTGTTTTTGATTTTATATCTAAGCTCTTCAAGTACCAAAATTGAACCAATGGGATTTATCAAAGGTGGCAGGTGCACACCACGTGCTACTGGGTGTTCCTCCCTCCTACTTCTGGGCTCTTTATACCACCAAAATTGATATCCAACTAGGCCAGAAAATAGAAGGATTGTGGAAAAGGATGCATCACTAGACCCCGAATCAAACAGGAACCTCCTGCCTAAACTCTGGTCGACGACATCAAGGAGAGCAGGTGCACACCATGTGCTATTGGGTGTTCTTACCCTCTGTCTCTCCACTTCCCATACCAACAGAAATTCAACTTGGGTGTTGAGAGAGATGGGAAGGAGATCAGATATCACCCAACCACGAATCGAACGGGGAGCTCCTGCCTTCAGGACTGTCAAGATCGGAAAGTGAGAGCAGGTGCACACCATGTGCTATCAGGTGTTGCTACCCTCATTTTCTATGCCTTCCATATACCATCAAAATTTGACTTGGGTTGGAATAAAAAACAAATGAAGGAGAAAGATATCACCCAACCCCGAATCGAACAGGGACCTCCTGCCTGAATGCCCAAAGAGAGTTGCTAAAGAGGGCAGGTGCACACCACATGCTATTGAGTGTCTCTAGCCTCTGTTTTGGGGCTCTATACCATATACCACCAAGGTGCAATTCAACTTAATTCAACTTGGGTTGAAAAACAAACGGGAGAGACAATATCACCCAACCCCGAATTGAACAGGGACCTCCTGCCTACAACTTATTTCCAACCTACAAAGGAGGGCAGGTGCACACCACATGCTATTGGGTGTTCCTATCGCCGGAGTCGCCGAGAATAGAACTACACACGGACGAGACGGACAGCTCCCCTCCATCCACGCAGCTCTCCACCGAGCTTTCCACGACACTCACTACCGAATCATCGGTTACCAACGAATCAGTTGAACCCCCTATCCGAATTCGGATGCCGCCTAGAATGTTACCGGCCAGATCAGCAAAGAACACCCCCGAATTCGACGGAAGGGCATTGAGCCTTAACCGATACTGGGAGGATATCGAAGAGTTGGCGGATTCCCTCGAGAGGAACACCAACGAGGAAAAGATAAAAATAGCTCAGCGCTACCTCGAGCGCGAGGAAGAGTTGCTGTGGAAGGGTTGCTTCAACGCGACCGACGACCCGCCGACGTGGGAGGAGTACAAGATAAAGATCGCCGCGCTCTATCCGGGATCGAACGGAGAGCGGCTGTTCTCGACGAGCGATTTAGATTCGTTCATTTCAGAACACGTCCACAAGAAAATACGCACCAAGGACGATTTATCAGCGTATCACCGGAAGTTCCGCACCATGACTACGCACCTCATCGCGGAGGGAAGGATGTCGACCATGGAGGCGCAGAAAGAATTCCCCAAGGGACTCGACGAAACGTTCAGGAACCGAATTTATCGGCGCCTCGAGATCACCGAGCCCGACCACTTGAGCGGCATTCCATACGCCATGGAAAGCGTCGTTAGGGCGGGGCACCATGTCCTCGACGGACCTAGTTCCATCGTGGACGACAGCTTCGTGAGAAGGAAATGGTGGACTTGGCCGGCGCGTTCGCAAAGATGCATGAAAGCTATAAAGTGGATATGCAATCCCTTACGCAGGCAATTAACAACCGAGTCCCTCCAAGGCCGAATCCGCCATCCTACCCCATGTACTCGGTCACCGTACCAGAGCAGCAGCAGAATTTCCAGCCGCCTGAACAAGCGTACCGACCCCCGTACCCAAACAATCAGGGAGGGTATCCGGGACCGTACCAGAATCATCAGAACGGCGGCTTCCCGACAAGGAATAATTATGGTCCACGCCAGGCTTGGGCCACGCCTCTGGGAGGATCAATGTTCCAACCGGGCAAATGCAGATTTTGTTCTGGCCAAGGACATTTTGTGCGAGAATGCACAGTCGCAGCGGAATTTATTCGCACTGGAAAATGCTTCCGGAATAACGCCAACAAAATTGTGTTACCGAACGGGCAGTTCATTCCGCGGGACGTTCCTGGGCGCAATTTCGCAGAAAAGATCGAGAGGTGGCTGGCAGAGAACCCTCCCCGAGGCGTACCGCCAAGGCAGCCTCCGCCGCCGGCGCAGAACGCTCCTCCACAGAACTTCGAGTGAGACGCTCCGCCACACGTTACGGTGGGCACGCATACGGCGTGCGAACCGATACACACGCTGGCCTTTGGCGAAATACCGAACCCAGACGCCATCGACGAGGCCGAGCAAGAGGCAGCGGTTTGGGCGAATGAACGGGCCAACGAACGGCCCAAGAGAGGGCAACCGGAAGTCGTCATCCAGAAGAAAGCCCCGCCAAAGTCCTCGATGAAACCCGACCGGCGCCTCCTGCGATTGTTAAACCAGTGAAACCGGCCGAGATAGAAATAACTCCGCTACCGCCTGCGTTCAAATACCAATCGCTCTGCGAGAATCCGGCTATGGTGAAAGCGGTGATCGAGCGGTCACAGAAAAAACCAGGTCCTCGTCTCTCAGGAAGAACTGTTCGCGCTCTCGGCGGAGTACAGGAAATTCTTCAGAGAGGCGACGGTTACCAAAAGGATTCCCACGGTTGAATCTGGGATGTTCGAGGAACAAACGGCGTTGATGATGAATTTCAACACCTTGGGCGAGCAGCGATCGACACTCCTAACGGCCTCACCGATCGACTCGTTAAAAGTCGTGGACATCCTGATAAACGGTGATAAGCCGTGCAGAAAGCCACGTCTGAAAAGCGGGAATCTTTTCGATTTCAACTTAGCAGATTTTGGATAGAGCACGCTCCGGAAGGGTAGAAAGCTTACAGGACGCTGTCCTAGAAAGCATATGCTTCCGGAAAGGCTTGAAGCGACATTGGTCCAGATGGCTAAGCAGACCCTCAACAAGTGTTTCTAGCTTCAACAAAGCTGGAGATACCACTGGAGAGCGAGTCGCTGAATACTAAGTGCGCGGTTCGGAAGGACATGCAACAGGGTCCGGAAGATAGTTCAGAAGCGCCAGCCAGACCTAGCTCTCCACAGCAACAAAACCATGCTTCCAGAAGCTAGGCTTCCAGGAACGAGTGACCATACATAAAACGAACCAAGTCCGAGAATGGAAACGATCACTCCGGAGAGATGGCCGAGAGGCGCATCAAAGTGAGGAGATGTCGGCAAGCATGGCTTCCGAGAGGACTGCTTCTGGAAAGGCTGAGCGGCCAAAGCAACAAAGTGACAGGGGAGAGCACAGCCAGACGGGTAGCCACCCGATGACAGCTGTAGGTGCTCGGAAGTGTAACCGAGGCGGAACCCTTTCCGACTCACAGGTTGGAAATCCGAACGAGATGCCGAACGATGCCGAGAATTGAACCACTCAACCCATTTCGGGAAGGGCAGGTTGAACTTCGGAAACCCGCCCAGAAACACGCAGGAAAGCTGCCACGATTGGGCTTCTGGAACAAGATAGATGCTGAGGGAAAGAGAATGCGTCCGGAAGGCGCTTTGGAGACGAAGAACACCCCAACTCAACTGGAAACCAAACGATCACAATTAGCTCTCGGAGAGCGAACCGACCAAACCAATCGAACGGACAATGATTGAAGGGCAGGAAGCCATAGCTACCGGCTGCATACCCGACTGCGGACATAATATTAGTTACGAGACTCATTTCTGAACCATGTATAAAAGGACTAGTAGAGTAGAGCATTCGGTAGCAGACGCCCCGGGACGCAGACACGGAAAGTGCCAGCGGTTCGGAAGTCCACGCTCCGAAAGCTATAACTGCCTGACACGCACTTGTACTTTCCAAAGACGATCAATTGCAATTGACACACTGTTGGATTATAGACCTCTGCGTTTCGAACACTTTCGGAAGTCACTGACCTGACGCTTCGGATAAACTTGATTGACGTGACGTGATTGACCTTGTCCTGACCGACCTGACCTGATTGACCTTGATTGACCTTGATTGACCGTGTCCTGACCGACTTGACTGGATTGACCTTGTCTTGATTGACTTGCTTCCGAGAAGCGATCTGTCTGCATTCCCAAAGCCCTTGCCAGAAGCACCTTCTGAAACCCACACACAATCGTTCTTCGGAACAAACCTTCCTTCGGGAAACCCAAACTCGTTCTCTCCGAGAACACCAAAAGTGCACACAAGTCCCATAAAAAATCCGGTGTTGTTCCGGAAGCATTCGTGTTTCCAGAAGTCCACTAGGTGCTTTCCGAAGGCCAACAACTCAGAACTTTGAGTTGTTTGTTGATCGATTAGCTTCCGAAAGAGCCTCGAACCCGTCTATACAAGCCTAATACTTGGCTTTCACCCCCGAACTACCCGTTCGTTACCCAGAGTGCTAGTGGTTGGTAGTAGTTGGTGTTTGTTAGTTGGTTTTAGTTGGATATATTCCATCTATCCCTTCCAGCAGCATTTCCGCATTCCACACACACCCCGAGTGAGAACCTTTCAACGGCACTCATACCATCGCTTGCACGCTCGACACGGCTCGGAGATAGTTGCCATGAACAGAAATGTTTGGCAGGCGCTAGGCGTCTCGCTCATCTCCCCGAAAAGACGCTCATCATGGAGTCGGCGGATTCGAGCCAGAGCGCGACGGCAGGCGTGGTGGAAAACCTGAAGTTCTCCCTCGGGGAAATAGACCTTCACCTCCAGGCCCATGTCGTCGACGGCGTCCCATTTGAGATATTGCTGGGACGACCGTTCTTCCGCTTCACCGAATACCAGACTCAGGATCGATCGGACGGGTCGCAGGAGCTCACCCTCACCTGCCCTAACACCGGCAAGGTGATCGTGGTACCAACAAAGACAAAAACACCTAGGCGCGTAACGTTCGCGGAGGCCAACAACTAAGCTACCTTGGAAGGGCTCGCCTCCATAGAAGAGGGCGACTTGGGTTTTGCATAGGGCAGGACGAAAATGGACCGAGTCCTGCTGCGCGAAGAACGGTTTCGACGAATTATTGGAAAACTCTAAAAATAGCACCCGACGCTGCGACCGCTACGCAGAAGCGCGAAGCGGGGAAAAACATCCCCGAAATATCACTATCGAGATTCAAGAATCAAACTATACTCTACACGCCGAGGGGCGTTAATACGGTCGACTGCAGACCGGTTTACTTTCACGACACGACCGCGGAATGGGAAATAACACCAGCGTTTTTGGAACACTGCATCCAACAAGCGTACGGATACGACGAGAAGGCGCACGTCTGGCTTAACACCGAGGCGATGGCCAAGAGAAAGGAAAAACCGAAGCGCAGGAAGTATAAACCAGTGGCGAACAGGATACATTCTGTCGCCGCCACCCTACCCGAAGAATTTCGAATCATCCGCCATTTCCCTTCCGACCCACTCGAAAACATGCCGCCTCTGAATCCCAACCCACCCGAATTATTGCCGGGAAAACAATATACCTTGGAACGGGCGGAGGAGATGAACATAAACCCGGACGGATTCCTCTTACCTAAGGAAGAAAAGCTAGTGCACGACATAATCCGGAATCACGAGATGGCATTTGCCTGGGACGAGTCCGAGAGGGGGAGTTTCCGCGAAGATTACTTCGAGCCCGTGAAAATTCCAGTCATGGAGCATACACCGTGGCAGGAGCGGAATATACCAATCCCTCCAGGAATCCGGGACGAGGTTGTGGAAATAATCCGAGGAAAAATGAAGACGGGAGTCTACGAGCCGTCGAGTTCATCGTATCGAACGAATTGGTTCGTCGTGCCGAAATCGAACGGCGCACTTCGCCTCGTCCACAACCTTCAACCGTTGAACGCGG